AGATGCTAAGCTACTGTGCCTTTAGGACATGTACGTTCCTTGTGTTCGTGTTGTGTGTATACGATATTTTACTTTAAACTGCAGACTCCTCTCGATTATCGTCGGGCTTGTTCTACAGGATTATTGTCCAAGCGTCATCCGCACTACGGGGTGGTGGAGGGGGGCGTGTTACTCCCCCCCCCCCCCCCCGCGAGGCTCGGGTTTCGGATAAAAAACAAATTCACGAGGGTCTAAAGCATTTCTCCCTATAGCATTATTGTCCCGGCGCGGACCCGATTTTGGGACGATAATCCAGAGGAGTCTGTAGGAAAAAATGTCCAAAGTATGATCAATTTCAGTAATATTATATTGCAGAAAAAATTATGTGGAGTTGTTGCTCTTGATGAGCTGAACAGAAAAGTTCCATACAACTTTTTCCTAAAGTGAATATTTACAGCTGAAAACGGCTTTGAAGTTGTAGCCTTTGGGCTACGCCATGATGGTACTAATACCGAACATGACCGCCAGCGGATGATCTCAGCACTATTCACTGTCCACTGGATCCCAAATAAGATTTTCTTTAAAGATCTTTAAGAATCTCATTGAAATAGCCCATTTTAAACAGATCTCTAAGATTCCTTTTACTAGATACCCTAAATATCCATACAATTCCTGAACCTCTGAAACATAAATCGCCAGGTGGGACACTGTCGACCGTCGAGCAATTCTTCGCGTGTCAGCTCCTCCAGGGGATTAGTATAAAGGTTCAACTTCAGGGGACATAAACCTTCATCTCTATCCGCATCAAAGACATTCGGTTACGCATCGGGGACAGGAAAAAGCGTTCGCCAGAAACACCCCTGGTCTGAAACGCGAGAACATGTAACTGCTGAATCGTAAACGCAGATAACTGGAAATTACTTGTGGGGACACGTAGGATCCGTTGGGCGGCCCGCTGCGACGCTATCAAACGCTCCGTGCATCTACCGCGACTAGGTCTGGTCCACATTGCATTTCGTTCCGGCTCTGTAAACTGGTTCCTGTACGATAGCCGGTTCCCCATGACCCTTTAGCCTGCCTTTTGAACTACCACCTTGCCCTTCCCCCGTTTTATTTTCGTATCCCGTTTCCCATCTCCGCGGTTACATTACACCACGCTACCCAGGATGCTGATCCTCTTACGTCACCTAGCTCCAGGAGCTGTCCGTGTTCACCTCTTTATCTATTTCCGGGCGAAATTTCATTCGGGTCGGGAAAACGTCGCTGGTGGTTAAATTTGAATTAACGTCTCTGATCGAAATTTATATCTACGTGGTGTGTCACGTTTCAAGCCCCATTTTCCTGGGGTGTACGGGGTTCGCGATATAATAACCACACGGGTTCGATCAAACGCGCCTCCGTGTCCTCCATTCATCCCATCCAATAAAGTAACACAGCACGTTATATTACATCGATCGTTTTCGCCTCGCTGTTTGCACACTTCACCCCACCTCCTGCAAAAGCTTCATTTTCATCGATCGTCGTGTACGGTTACACGATACAGCCATCGAACGAAACACCAAGGCGAGGTCCACCGACCGTGCTAGGGTTCAAAGGGCCCCGCGTCTCCGTCACGAATTGGTCATCCAACATTCGGTCATTCAGCCAGGTGAAACCAGACGGCCATTACAAAAACCAGAGGTTTGCGGGGATAGTATCCGCGACTGTGTTCTGTACTCGATCACGGATTCTCAAAAGCGTGTGTAGTGGCTACCGCGACCCAAACACATTACCATCAATGAACCTCCGGGAGAGCACTATCGGGAACCCGGGTTTCCTAGCGGATACCAACGGCTTTTCATTTCGTTGTAAAGCCTCCTGTGTTTTAAACGGATCGTTCTGGGCCCCCTTTAACTGGGATTCTTTTTGCAGAGGAAATAATTTAACGCTGTCGGAAAATTCTGAACGAGATGTGAAAGTTTAATTCGGGATTCAACTTGTTCGCCTATCGTCCCAAGCACCCCCCGATTATATTCTCTCGGTGGGGATTTTCTAGCCGAGCAAGCCAACGGGGGTTTCCATCGGAAACGGATCGAAGCAGTGGGACGGGATGGTGGAGTAGTGGAGCCCCGCGGGTTAATGGCATTGTTTTCTCTGGCGAGGGCAATTTTAGCCTGTTGCATTTTTAATAGGTCGAATGAGCACATCCACGTCGGAACGTCGTCCCCGCTAACTGTTCGATTAATATTGAAATTCAATCGGCCACTTTGCGCCGACGGCGTGCGATTGTCGAATGATCGATTCGGCGGTCCCCTGTAATGCATCGAAACCTTTTGTTCTCTCGATCGATGTAACTTGAACCGCGGGAATCACTGACTTTTTGTTGCATTACTTGACACCTATCATGTAACAATGGAGCCCAACCCTTGTAGTGAAAATTCTGGGTGATTCGAGGAATTACGATTATGAGCATTGTAGGACATTTTCTGGTCCCTGGGAAATAGGTACGGTGGTTTTATTACGTTGAACCCTTTTCCAGGCGAAATTTCGTTCAATTTTGAAGTTACCCAGGCCCGTGAAGCATTTATTGGGGCGGCGAGGGGTAGCTGCCCCTACGCGCGTCGTCGGCCATTCGTATTAAATTAGAATGACCGCTGGGTATACGGGAGCCGACGTGTTGAAGTATTTTTATGTCGGAAGTGGTATGAAATTACGAGGAATTCAGTACCGGTCCGACACATAAAACGGATAAAATAAAATTAAATAATAAAACCCGTGGGCCAGCGAGTATTCACGTGTCTCTTAAAGTATAAATCCTCCTCCTGGTCCGGCCTCATTTTCGTTTCGGCTAACGTAGATGTCGCCACTGTGCGGTGGAATTAAAAAGCATATTATTTCGATTATTTCGTTAACGAATTCGTAATTTTATAATTAAAGAAGGTATTTGTTTTTTGTTTCGCTTTGCTAATTTCATCTTCATGAAATATTCGAAGAATTTTTTTCATCTCTCGGAAAATTATTTCGTGACGAGTGTACACATGTTTGAAATATTCTCAAAATATTTTCAGGCGAAAACGGACAAAGGATTGACGTTGATCGCGTACTTTAGTTTTCAATGTAAATATCCGTACTCACTTTTATTTCGTTCCGACGAGAAGAGAGGGGGGGGGGGATACGTGCTGGTAAATCCCGTGTTTATTTTTTTTCCGTCGAGTTGTAACCGTTTGCCGATGGATAATTAAAAAAGACGCGTATTTTTACGTGAACGAATCCACCATTACCCAGTATTCGTGTGTAAAAATACAAGTGAGTTGTTTACAGTGCGTATACATTCAGAAAAGTTCTTGACTATTATTAAATCAAAACGAAAATATTTGCTAAAGCACCCTTCCTCCGTTATTTTATTACAGCTTGTTTACTCGACCTATCGTATATTAATGCAACAACATCTCTGACCTGATCCTGATGATTTTAATGATATTTTTCTCCAAACATCGAAAGTATTTTCTAGCATCTCGTTACGCTCTCGCGATTCCCGTGCACCGGGCTCGCCCGTAAGAAATTACTTAAAACGCCTCCCAAGGCGCTCGATCGATTTCCCTTCACGTAGAAATATCGTTCCACCGGCTAACTCGGTAACAAGTTCCTCTTTCATGGGACTTCCGGTGCCACTGTGCGGTTTCAGAGCCTCAGAGTTCCCTCACCCGGTCCAGGCCACGGTTTAATCTGCATCGAAATTCTAACGCCGGCCCGGCGTTTCTTTAGCATTTTATGGAAATCGCCGACGAGTTTAGTTTGACACTTTACCCAGCGACAGCTGATGACAACGGGTAGGGTTTTATCTCGTTCCGGGCTTTCCTGGTCGTGGGAGATGGTCCGAGTGTTTTCCGGAAGAAAGAAGATTGTTGGAGTTACGTGTTCGTGAACCTAATCATGAGACGTTATTGCCTGGGTCTGTCTTTACCCTGAATTTCAGGAGTTTCGCCTCAATGATCAGCTTGTGGGTGATTAACTTCAATTGCTAGTTGCCTGTTTTATACAGGGAATGGTGATACCCTGATATAGTTCTAGAGAAATAAGTGAGCAGGGAACTGAATAGACCCAGGTGTCGTCAGAGACGGTTTCCGAAAGTTAGGTATGGCCTATGTCTAGAATTAGGACTGGAGAAGCCTGGATAGGGGATAGGTTGGGTCTGGCCTAAGTTTAAGTTTGGGATTATGCCTAGATTAGGTCGGGACCTAGGCCTTGGTTAAGAGGGGACCTTGGTTAGGTCAGAGCCTAGGCCTAGATTAGGTCAGGACCTAGGCCTTGATTAGGAGGGGACCTTGGTTAGGTCAAAGCCTAGGCCTAGATTAGATCAGGACCTAGGCTTTGATTAGGTCAAGACCTAGGCCTTGCTTAGGAGAGGACTTAGGTTAGGTCAGAGCCTAGACCTAGATTAGGAGGGGAACTAGGTTAGGTCCGAGCCTAGACCTAGATTAGGATGGGACCTAAGGTTAGGTCAGAGCCTAGACCTAGATTAGGATGGGACCTAGGTTAGGTCAGAGCCTATGCCTTGATTAGGAGAGGACTTAGGTTAGGTCAGAGCCTAGACCTAGATTAGGAGGGGAACTAGGTTGGGTCCGAGCCTAGACCTAGATTAGGATGGGACCTAGGTTAGGTTAGAGCCTAGGCCTAGATTAGGTCAAGACCTAGGCCTTGATTAGGAGGGGACTTAGGTTAGGTCAGAACCTAGGCCTTGATTAGGAGGGGACCTAGGTTAGGTCAGAACCTAGGCCTTGATTAGGAGGGGACCTAGGCTCAGATTAGGTCAGGGGATTTTTTTTGGTTGAGGCCGGTTAGGTTTTCAGCTACATATAAGGTATGCACAGCTAAAATAAGGAGGTTGGAGTAACCATCAGATAGTCATTGCATCCCGTCTGAAACGGTAGAGTGCATACGGAATGCTATTCTAAAAGAACGAAGGACTGAATTTACTTCACACGTGGGAGTAACATTTCCAACAGGAAACTAACGTTCGTGGTCTCTTTTTCTTGTTACAGAACTCGAACAACCAAGTTGCGATTCCTGGACAGAATCAGGTGGCCCAAACACAGGCGGAGACCCAAGGGGGGCCCAATACAGTTCTCAGAGTCATTGTTGAACAGATGGTATACCCTATTTCTCTGGACGTGCTCTATCAGGTAAGCAACGATTTTAAATATAACTTAATGTATAAGTAGCTGCATGTTATTCGCACACATAATTAATTAATTTTCTTGACAAGCTGGCAGTATAGTTGAAATTGGGAACATTCTGAGACCCTTTTACTACAATGATTCTGTTTCTACATTTAAAACCTGAAGAATGTAGGTTATGGTCCGATAATTGGAAATTATTAAGAAATGCATAAATATAGTTAACAGTGGTTCAGAGTCCCATAATGACTAAGAAGATTGCAAAAGACTTGATGTACCGTGAGGGGTACTAACGCGTATTACCCAGGGTGGGCAATGGTTTGGATGCAAAGTAAAAAACGGCCGAAATCGGTCGGGAATAATGCAGGATATGCAAAATTAATCCGATTCCCCGGCAACACTCCCGAATTCGATTCTCGATTAATCGGATATTTCTCCGGTATACTTCAGCTCCGCTTGTGGATCACGATGGGGGAAGAGTCGCGGCATATTTTGCGTGTTAAATATTCACGGCTTTAGGAGATTTTTTTATTATTCTGCGGCATTTTCGTTAATGGAATATTAAATAATCCGCCCGCGTCGACGACATGCTTACCTTATCCTCCGATTTCAGTGCAACCTAAATTTCCGAATACTGCGACAAACAGCAGTTAAAAAAATTTGAAGAATCAGTCTGTACAATTTGTATCATCGTTTAAGCGGTTCAAATTAAACATTTATTCAATTATTCTCCAGATTATTGCATCCCTGTGGTGTAAATAATATTCGTTACAAATATCGCGTATTTAAAATATATAAATTTTCATTCGATTAATTATTAAAAAGTTCACAAAACGTCATTTAAATTTACTGTGGGTTTTTGTAATATCCCCTATACCGTTAGAACATTAAGCGATTTAATTTTTGGCATAGAGAGGTCGGTCCCCGAGGCTTAATTTATTAATACGCTGAAATTATCACTAGCTCGAACTGTCGTTTAATTTTCACGCCCGCGTGAGATTCGAACATCATAAGCTTTCCGGTCCTCGACATGATCAAGCTTGTAACTTTCGTCGCGAGACGAGACGAAAACGAGCGAGAAGATTTAATAAAAGTTGCAGATTTCCCCGGTAATTTAGTTGCATAATAGAGAAACCGCTGAAACATGCAATTTTGTTCTGTAATCGTATCATACGGTCCACCGCGCGATCGCGGATCCGGCAGCCGCGCAATTTTGCATTACAAATTCATAATAAGGAAACACTGTTTGGTGGAGGGAGGGCCTAGATTACATATTTACGGAATTACAAATTACAATTGCACGGTGAATTATGTAACGAGCCGACGTTATTATTGAATTAATTCGTGTGTCACGGTGCGTGGATCAGAAGCACGATTCCGTAGCGATTAATTAGGATTCGACTGTCGATTAACGAGTCGATTAAAATCACGAAACCCAGCCGATTATCACGGGCATTACCACAACTCCGACCGTTTCGTGCCTTCGATCCGTAATACGATATTATCATTCCATTGTACCCTGACCCTTTCTGTCTTTCAGTAGGTGGGACAGGCTATCTGTATCTTAGAAAATGGCTAGGGTACATTCTTACATCAATCAATATATAGCATGGGGGTTTAGTTCTTTTCCTGTCTGATGGGTCTGTAAGGCAGAGGAAACTAACTTGGCCGTTGAAGGCCACAGTGGATATCTCTCCCCACCAGTTCACTCAGCCATCCCCACAAATTCATCTTCTGATATGATAGTTGCTTCTCCTTAATCTGATAGGAATTGTGAAACGCAATATTTTCAAGATAGTCAGCTTGACCAATTTTTAAAACATCTGTAGACGTTTTAGCCTATTTTTACTGAAGAAATTTCATAGACGATTATGATCGACCCAAAGAAAGGAACATCAGGCTGAATCATATTGTCGTTCATTAAGGAAACGCTCCCCTGTCGAGCCGGATGGCAGGATAACCGGCGCGCTTCCAGTTCGGGCTGAGTGGGCCATACATTTTTAAGCGCATCCACTAGCCCACCGAATAATATACCACGCCCTGGACCGCGAACCCGGAAACTCGTCCCTTCTCGCTATGTGCATGTAGTGTGTTGTCATACCTGACGTACGCTAAACACCCACCTTTCTTGCCACCGTGAATATACTCAAAATAGAGGAGAGGCCCCTTCTTTTTTAGGGAAACGCATTTCACACGATCTGAATGGATGTTCCGCGGTCTTACAAAACAGAGAAAACCGAAAGTATGTCGTGGAAGGCAGGCAATCTCCTTCCTGTATCTTGAGGAAACTTCGCAGGCTTCTATTTAGACACGCGGGAATAATCCGTGACACTCATTTAGACATTTACTCAAACAGTATTAATAGGTTATGAAGATTTATTTATGTTACATTAATTATTGTAACGCTAACACTCTATATCGTTAGGTAGTAGATATCTATCAGAGGAGATATCAAATTGGCGATTGACATTGGTATGTGACTATTCGACGTGATAGTGTTGAACCTAGCATATAGACCTAATTTCTCGTAGTACCTTAGTTGTTTACATCAACGAAGTTACCTAAAATACCCTAATTGATCATAAGACTCTAAATGCTATGATACCCTAGTTGTCCACATGACCCCAAGTGTTATGATATATCTTAGTTGACCACACGGCCCCAAGTGCTATGATACCCTAGTTGTCCACATGGCCCCACGTGCTATGATACCCTAGTTTCCTATATGGCCCTAACTGGTATGATATTCCCTAGTTGCCATATGGCCCCAAGTGCTATGATACCCTAGTTGCCTATATGGGCCTCAATGATATGATATACCCTAGTTGTCTACATGGCCCCATGTGCTATGATACTCTAGTTGACCACATGACCCCAAGTGCTATGATACCCTAGTTGACCACATGACCCCAAGTGCTATGATACCCTAATTGCCTATATGGCCCTCAATGGTATGATATACCCTAGTTGTCCACATGGCCCCAAGTGCTATGATACTCTAGTTGTCTACATGGTCCCAAGTGCTACGATACCCTAGTTTCCTATATGGCCCTAACTGGTATGATATACCCTAGTTGCCATATGTCTCCAAGTGCTATGATACCCTAGTTGCCTATGTGGCCCTAAATGGTATGATATACCCTAGTTGTCCACCTGGCCCCAAGTGCTACGATGCCCTAGTTGCCTATATGGCCCTAAATGGTACGATACCTTAGTTGCCCTAAAATTCTGATGAATACGTTCCTCCATCAGAACTGTACTTGTCGAAGGCTAGTTGAAGTTTCTGCAGAACCTGTTATCGCCACTAGACCTCGCAATAGGTACTACGATCTTGAATCCTCTCTGTAACAACTGCTCGAGTGTCAAACCAAGTTCAACTTACCGATTATATTTGTACGCTTAATGAAATGCTAACCTCGAGAGTGCCCATGGGGACGAGCTTTAATTCACTTGAAGTGCTCACGGCGACCGTTTCATCTTCCGCAAGAATGACCGACAGTAATCCCCCGCGCATTAACGGGGACGCGTTTGTGTTCACCGAATTGAAATTCCCGAAGATTATAGGCATTTCGTTGTCCAGACGGACGCGCGGTGTGTTCCCGGCGTAGCAACACAGGGCCGTGCTAGCGTTGCTTCACGCGTGCTTGCTTTTTCGATAAGCACACGCGCGTTGGATTTCTGCCGTGGGGTCCGCCAGGTCAACCGGGACCTAAGCCGATAATGGACCGCCTAGAAAACATTTCGGGATTACACGCCCGTGATTTCCTGTTATTTGGCTGCGTAAGGCTTACGCCGGCGATTTCGCCACTGGCCACCGGATTTACACGCACCGCTATCACTTCGAAAGATTAACCGGTGCTTCGCCACCGGTCCAGCTAAGTCGACTTCCCTCGACCGGAAATGGATGATGACTTCGTTGCTTGGGTAGCAAGAAGATTCTGACTGACAGATTTCCGTCCAATTTTATCAGTGCTATCCTATCTGTAAAAGAGGGAATCCTTCACTAATAGCTTTTGTACCTTTTAATATTGGACATATCTGAAGAATCATGAACTTGAGCAAGCTAGAGACATCGATGAGGAATGTTGCTCACTGAAACTGATGTTTGGTACCCTAGAGCAGCGGTTCCCGACCAGGGGTACGCGCTTGGTGTTTTAGGGGTACGCGAAAGAAACTGAAATAACAGTAACTATACAAATTACAATTATTTTTCTAGTATTAGGGGGTACAATTTAGGAAAATTAGCTGCCAATTCGTACATAAGTAAAAAATATAAAGATAAAATATATAAGTAAAGTCAGAAACTCTGTTTCTGATTCTTGAGAAAGGCTACCTTTGCCCAACCAATCTTTGATCCACACACCAACAGTTCGTCCGCAATCCCTCTGTCTGTGTTTAACTTCACGGTTCTGCGAGCCAATTGAACACCGTAAAAAAAGTGTTTCCTGTAATTGAAAACTTGTCCCGGTTCCCCTTCATCGGGGCTACGCTTCGCTTCCGTGAAAAGTGAAGGAAGAAAGGGTGTAGTAAAGAGGAAGTAGTCGGTGTTCAGGTGTGCAACGGGGGTCTCAAACTGACGCTATGAAAACTTGGTAATCTGGGGTAGATGCTATTAGTCAGTGTCGGGGGGCCGCTTTAAAATTTCTAATGATCCGTGGACTTAACGAGATGTATCCGTTGAAGGGTCATTGATCGCGAAAACTTTTAATGGCGGCCTTTTTCTCGTCGGCTCGATTCCCCCCCCTTTTTTTTCCCACGGAACACTGAAAAACTGTATAGTCTTGCGTAACTCTGCGTAACCGGTTGGGTTATTAAGCGACGGGGATTAATGCGCCTGGGTGGATTTCAGAACTTTGGTGCTGGTCTTTTGTTGTGCAGAGATTCTCGATGAATTCTAATATCTCAGTAACGTTACTTCGAAATTCCCGCCTTACAGAAATTGGTAAGAAACCAAGGATGATTCGGAATAGCTAATCGATAGAGTGATCCTCTGGTGGCGAGTGCTT